ATTCCCAGCACCCACATGTTCACACCAGATGTAACTCCAGTTTCAAGAGATCAGGCATCAGGCATTCATGAAGTGCACATATATATACACATAGGCAGAAAACTCGTATGCATAAAAATTAAATAAAACTTAAAAAATGTCTTTAAGGACCACTTTGTCACAAGGAAAAAGGGTGCATATATAAAAACAATAACACTAAAATGTTACAACTAGTCACCAGAACAGGATAGAGTCAGTATCAAGAACTGCTGTGAGCTTCTGTGAGTATGCCAAGACAGTATTCTTGCTGGTAAGGGCCAGGTAGCCAGCGCTGTTCCAGAATTGGAGCCAGGAGGAAATTAAGGCAGAGAAAGAGCATGCATGTTTAGTTTGTCCAAATGTTCAGCTACTGTTCCTAGGACAGCCACATTTTGTAGAGTCCACCAGATTATCTAGCTGGAACTGCAGAAGGTGGGGACATGCATATAAAGAAGGTCCACATGCCACGCTGTATACCTTCTCTCAACCAGACAGCTATTATTCTGAGATGTGTGGATCAGGGGACACTCAGGAAGCCTGCACATCTGCACCATGTCAGAAACATAGATGGACACACATGCATCTTTCCACAATGTCAGAATTGAATGAGAAATTCACATCTGTTATGCTGGCTGGCTGCAATTTGCTGAGTAGTTCTACATTCCCTTGGTAGCTGGCTGGGGCAAACATACATTTTGTTTTGTTTTATTTTTTAATCCCTGTCCTAACTTACTAACAGCAAGTCTCAGATCACAGTTGCATATCACACAGTAAGCATGTCTACATGTATGTATATGTAGATTATAGGATGACTACAGAAGAGTTAAGGAGGCTACAACAGAGTTCAAGGAGGCTTTCCCAGAGGCAGAAGGCTGATGGAGATAGTCTGTGGAGAAAGGTGGGGTAGATAAAGAACCCTGTTGGAGAAGCTTCCTGAAACTCCTGATCTGCAGAAACAAGATGAAGGTCAGGTCACTGCAGAAGGGCACATGCAACAAGGTCAGGTCACTGCAGAAGGACACATGCATCACAGTCAGGTCACTGCAGAAGGGCACATGCAGCAAGGTCAGGTCACTGCAGAAGGACACATGCATCACAGTCAGGTCACTGCAGAAGGGCACATGCACAACCATGGGGGCCGTGGAGGCAAGGTGCAGGACTGACAGGTACAACCAGACAGGGGCACAGGTTCTCTGCCTGTTGGTCCCATGCATAAACCAGGTGGTCACATGACAGGGTGGTGAGGCTGCAGTCAGGTATGAGGTAAGAGTGTTGCACCCATCTTCAGTCTGGAGGGCCTGTGAAGTTCTTGGTTTGTATGACAGATCTACTATGCACATATCTCAGGATACTTGATAACTTTGCAGAGTAGCACCTTTTACCTTAGGAGGAACTTACCGATTTATCAGTCTGTGCTTTGCGGATCATCCTGCCCTTCATCTGTACTTAGAATGGAGTCACCCAGGGCAAGGAACAGCGGAACAACCAGTTTCACAAACTGTGAGGTAACACAAGGCATAGTACAGACTTCTGCCTCTCCCGCCATGGCCACGGAAAGGAAGAGCTGCTCCCCATATTTTTATTTCCTGAACTTATGAGGATATAGTGACAAAAATGATTTAATTTTATTTTGTGTGTATGCACGTGTATACACCTCTGTGTGTGCACATACATAGAGACCAGAGCTCAAGTTTAGGCATTGTCTTCAGAAGCTATCCATCTTGTTTTCTGAGACATGATCTTTCATTGGCCTGGACTCTGCCAACTAGACTAGGCCGGCCAATGAGCTCCAGGGATCCTTCCGTCCCCACCTCTCCACCGCTGGGGCTACTGCCTGGGCCTGCCTAACTCCCAGCTTTTTTTTTTTTCTTTAGACACAAGGTTTCTCTGTGTAGCCCTGGCTGTCCTATAACTTGCTCTGTAGACCAGGCTGGCTTTGAACTCAGATCCGTCTGCCACAACCCCCCACCCCAGTGCTGGGACTAAAGACCCTTTACAGCACACCTGGCTTTTTAAATGTGGATTCTAGGGAATGGTCAGTCCTCATGATTACACAACAAGGACATTACCAACTGAGCCATCTCCTCTGCTTTCATTTTATTATTTAAGCAAAAAATCCACCCAGACTCATTCATGCTTATTAACCTATTTGTGCCCAATGGTGTTCATAGCATACCCTTCAGTCTGCATATGGGCCAAGCATGGTGATCTTCTGCCCATAGCTCAAGCTACTTGGGAGGCTGAAGCAGGGGGCAAATTTGACCTCATAGAAGTGTAAGACCACTCTAAGAATACAGTGAGACTTACATCATTTTGCTTTTCAATTTTTTCCTTTTTATTTGTTTATTTACTTACTTTTTATTTCAGACAGTATCTCACTATGTAGCTCCGTATAGCCTAGACCTCACACAGATCTACCTGCCTTTGCCTATGGAGTGCTAGCAGTGAGTACCAACCACATCAGCCACATTTTTCAAATGGACAAGTAAAGTTTATCAAAGGATATCAAGAATTTGGTTGCTTGGTTAGTAATTTTTTGTTTTTGAGACAAGATCTCATATGTCCCAAGCTGGCCCTGAACTCATTATGTAGCTGAGTATGACGTCCAACTCCTAGCTGGAACTGTAGGCTTGTGCCACCACACCTAGTCAGGTTTCATTTCCTTAACAGTTTCATTTTCACAGGCTTTGAATCTTCTAGGACTAGGAATTACACTTCAGGATGCTAGGAGAGTGTAAGGGCCTAAAGCAATCTCAGGGTTCTGTTGCTAACTTGTGTGTGTGTGTGTGTGTGTGTGTGTGTGTGTGTGTGTGTAAAATGAAAACACCACCAGTGACAGCTCATCAGGTGATGGTGCTTGCCACACAGCCTGGCAACAGTTTGATCCCTGGAACCCTCGTAAAGGCAGGAGGAGGGGACCAACACCAGACAGTTGTTCTCAGACCTCCACATATGAACCCCACAAGACCCCACCACACAAACACATCGTGCACAAATCAACAGTAATAAAAACAGTAGTCTCTAATTAAAAAGCACTGGTCCGGGTGTGGTGTTGCCCACCTTTGATCCCAGCACTCTCCTGGAGGCAGGAAGACCTCTATAAGTTCAAGGACAGCCTTGATGAAAAATGAGTTCAGGCCAGTCAGGGCCGTACTGTGAATCCCTTTCTGAAAACAACAAAATAAAACTACATAGAGCAAGCCAAATGTGGTGGTACATATCTTTAATCCCAGCTCAGGAGGCAGAGGCAGGAAGATCCTAGTTTGAAGCCAGCCTGGCCTACAGAGCATTCCAGGGCAGCCAAGGAAAAACCCTGTCTTGAAAAAAAAAAAAAAAAAAATGAAAGAAAAGTAAAAAGAAAAAAACAGATATTTCCTACCACTCTCTACCACTCTTAGTATACAGCCTCTCAAAATCCCCCCCCCCCTCAGAGACAGGGTTTCTCTGTGTATCCCTGGCTGTCCTGGAACTCACTCTATAGATCAGGCAAGCCTCAAACTTAGAGATCTGCTTGCCTCTGACTCCTGAGTACTGGGATTACAGGTGTATGTCACCACCACCACCACCCCAATGTCTCTGAAAATCTTGAGTGACATAAATTGTATTTTCCCCCAAATAGGTGCTATCTTTTGCGGCCATATTCTTTACAAGTTTTGCCTGATAGTGATTAAAATCTTTCTCACTACCCAGAGGAAATCTCTCATCTTCAAATGTTTGAAGACAGTGTTTGTATGGTACAGGTTTTCTTGCCCAGCCTAGGCAGCCTGCAGTTCAGTTTCCAGACCCAGGATAGTGGTATGCACACATAATCCCAGCACTTGGGAAGTGAGGACAGGAAGATAAGAAATTGAAGGTGAATCTCTCAGCTACTAAATGAGTTCAAGGACAGCCTGAGCCCAGGGTAGATGAGACCCTGTCTCAAAAACAAAAAAGTGAACAACCTAGTGCTGTGACTTCGGGGCACCTGGCCAGCATTGAGATGCTCTGGTTTTGCACCATCCTTCAGATGCTCTTTCTTCCCAGTTGTAATATTCAGAGCAATTGCTCAGCTTCTTACAACTTCTCTGAAATTGCAACCTAGGGCCAGCACTTGTCACCAAGACTGTTGACCTGACTTAAATCCCCAAGGTCCACATAGTAGGAGAGAACCTACTTACACAAGATATCTTCTGACATTTTATATATATATATATATATATATATATATATATATATATGCCTGGCAAGTGTACACAGACACATACATACACACACACAAATAAATAAAATTGAGGGCCAGGTGGTGGTGGCACATATCTTTAATCCCAGCACTCAGGAAGCAGAGGCAGGCGGATCGCTGAGTTTGAGGCCAGCCTGGTCTACATCTCAAGTTCCAGGACAGGCTCCAAAGCTACATAAAAATCCTGTTTTGAAAAACCAAATAAATAAATAAATTGAAAGCTGTAAGTAAGCATACATTTGCAGGTTGCAGATGCTCAAGAGGTATATTATATATATTCAGATTTCCAGCAAGAGATTTCTTTCAAACATGAATTCCATTCTCCAGAAGTCAGCTTCTGGGGACTTCATATTTCTTGGCAAACACATATGATTTGAGATGTGCAATGTGATGTCATGATTCCTTGGCATATTAAACAAATGAATTTTTATTTTTGTTTTCAGATAGTGGCCAGAACAATAGTGCCAGTAGTAAAAGTGAACGACTGAGTGCCAAGCTCAGAGCTTTGCCTGGGACAGATGAACCTTATGAAAGTAGCAGTAACAAAGAAATAGGCAAGTGTTTGTCCCCCCGCCCAGCTCCGCGGCACAGCTGGTCTAAAGAAGACCCAGAGGTGGCGAGTGTGTGCTGGGAACTGCTGAGAACTCTGTGCAGACTGGGATCACAGACATGGATGAGCATTTCTGTTCACTCTGAGTCTAAGCTGCTTGCAAGTTTCCTGTTTCTCTGCTGTTCTAATGGCATGATCTCTTTTGAAACCTAGATGCCTCCTATGTGGATCCACTGGGCCCTCAAATAGAAAGACCAAAAACTGCAGCCAAAAAGAGGGTCGATGAGGATGACTTTGCTGACGAAGAGTTAGGAGATGATTTGCTTCCAGAATAATACAAACTCTAATCCTGTGTGTGTGTGTGTGTGTGTGTGTGTGTGTGTGTGTGTGTGTATGGGTGTGGAAGCCAGAAGACAGCCTTGGGTATTGTTCCCCCAGGCACTGTCCATCCATCATCTTTATTGTGACTGGGTCCCTCTCTGGCCTGGAACATGCCGTGTAAGTGATGGATGGCCAGCAACCCCCAGGATCTGCCTCCCTGCACTTCCACTTCCCGGGCCCTGAGATTGTAAGCACATGCCACCACTCCCAGCTTTTTTTAAAAGGGCTCTGGGGTTTGAACTCAGGAGCTCCAGCTTGTAAGGCAAGCACTTTCCCAACTGTACTCTCCCTGGCCCAGTAAGTCATTTACCAAAGAAAAGAAATCGTCTTATAAGATAATGCTCATGTTAAACCTGGGATCAGATGCCCAAATTTTAATTTTGTACACTGTTGAAACTTTAAATACTGTATTCTGTTCTCTGAGCGTGGATTTGTGCTGTCGTTTTTATGAAATAAAAGCCATGAAGCTACTACCTTAGGCCAATGACTTCCTTACCTTTCTAGCAACACTGACCCACAGTGTGAAGTCAGTTTTTTAGAACACCATAGTGTTTGCCCACCCACAAGAAAGTTTGTATATACAGTGTTAAAATTTACCTTCATTACTATCAATAAAGAGCCAGTAGTGAGTTTATTATATTTCATGGCTTAAAAATTACAAAGATGTATGTGTGACTTTTATTCAAGCTACATTGGTTGGAGTTTGGAAGGATTTGCTTAGTCTTTGGGTAGTTTGTCTCACTGTTAAGACAGTTCTCTTGAGAAAACACTGAACTGTAACCTTGCTGTTCAGTGGTTGCCACTGGTGTGTACCCAGTGAAGAGCAGTGAAGAGGTGTCTCAAGACGGGTTGGCCCACTCCTTGCTTAGAGGGTAAGGCTGGACAGGGCAGCTTGTGTTTTTCTTTAGACATATCTGTGAGGGTCTAGACTGCCCAAAGAATTGGCTGCTCCATCTTATTTATCCAGGACAGTTGGTGTTAACTTGTGGCCTCAAGTGATCCTCCTACCTCAGCCTCTTGAGTAGCTAAGACTGCAAGTAAATGCCACCTCACCCAAAAACATTTTAAAACATGAGGGTATCGTGGGGTACCCAACCCCAACTAATACATCCCCAGTGCAACCCCTGCACCCAAGGTTCAGAGAAAGTCACGGAAAAGGGGGATGAGTGTAAGGCCAGAAGACCAGAGCATCTGCTGTGAGAGAGTGTCTTCAGAATATGATGGAGAAGCTGCACACGAGTTCTCAACAATATAGCCACCTGAACAAGATTAGCATAATGGCATCACCAGCTGACATGCCAGTGTGAACAGGGACAATTCCACAGGGTCCCACCCCTAGATGAAAAGATACAGATGGTCAGTGCCTGCTGAGAGGGAGAATCAGTCTCCTCCAGGGATGAAGTTCCCTGCATAGGTGTCCAATCCCAGGAGTGAGCCCTGGCTAGACATGCACATATAAGCAAAACTGAATGAACTCAGTAAGTTATATATGCATCTATGTATATATGTGCATACTACATAAGTGCATATATATATATATATATATATATATATATATATATAACAATAATAAAGGGATCATGAATTTGAGAAGGAAGAACATGGGATGGGAGAGGGGGAGGGTGATATAGATGTAAGACAAGTTCTCAAAACATAAAATATATATGAGGGTATAGATATGTTGAGACAGATAGGGCAGGAAAAGCTCAATCCAACCAAAGGAATAAAGGGGCAGTCAATCTTTTACACACAAAAAAATCTCATATTTATTTGACTGACAATAACTACATATTACACATTACTATCATTATTAGTATATCCTCTTGTGACCTTGTCAAAGTCATTGCAATGAACTACTGGGGAAATGTCCTCAGCTGGAGTACACTGAGCAAACAGGAAGTGACACTTTTAGAAGCCAGAGCACTTGGCTGTCAAAGCAGAGATGAGACGGTAGCTAGTTAATACTTGGGGTCATGAAGGCTCATAACACGCATCACAGAAGCTCCTGCCTGTATGACTTTGAGTGCAAGCAGGTCAGTGTTCATCTGGTGGTGGTGATTGCTCTCATATGTGTCTATGGGGAAAAATGAGACATAAATTAGTGACCGTAGAAAAGGGAGTAGAGGGGCTGGAGAGATGGCTCAGCCGTTAAAGGCTAGGCTCATAACCGACAATATAAGAAAAGGGAATAGAGGCAGAAAACTAATGGGTTATTTGTATTGTGTTGTGTTAGTCAGTTATTGTCTGAATGTGACATGCTCCCCACTAGCTCGAGTGTTTGAATTTCCAGCCCCCAGCTGGTGGTGGTGTTTCCGGAGGTGATGGAATGTTTAGGAGGTGGCACCTTGTGGGGAAAAGTGAGTCACTGATGCACAGGCTGCTTCTATCTCCTGGTTCACTGAGCTCTGAGCAAGCAGCCGCCTGCCACACTCCTGCCACCACGCCTTTCCTGTTATGGATTGTATTCTTTCAAATTGAGCCAAAATGAATCCCTTCAAAAAAAGTTGCTTTCTGTCAGGTATTTTGTGAGTGATGAGAAAAATAACTCAATTAGCTTTTCGCTACTATAACAAAATACCTGAGATAACCAGCCTATAGTGGGGAAAGGTTTATCTTAGCTGGGAGCTTTATTGGTTTTGGTCTCTGATTACTTGGTCCTATTGCAGAAGAAAAGCACACCAAGACTAGAGAGATGGCTTAGCGGTTAAGAGCACTAGCTGTTCCTCCAGAGGAGAGGTCCAGAGTTCAATTCCCAGCAACCATATGGTGGCTCACAGCCATCTATAATGAGATCCAATGTTCTCTTCTGGCCTGTAGACAGAACACTGTATACATACTAAATCAATCTTTTTAAAAAAAAAAAAAAAAAGAATGTGGTAAGAAAGGAATGTGGTAAGAAAGACAAGGATGAGCCAGGAAGCTGGGCTAGACAGGAAAAGTGAGGATTAAAGAGTGGAATGTCAATGAGGAAGGAACTGCATGATTTGAAGACAGATGAAGTCTGAGAAGTACAGAACAGAACACACATGGGTGCTGGAACCAGATACTGGGTTGTGGTCAGATATTCCTGATGATATATGCCCACAGAGTTCAATAGCTGAGATTGGTAATCCAGGAAAGACAAAAAAAAATCAAGTCAGCACTCAGAACCCAGTGCTATCGTGCAGCTGATGGTGCTGGATGAAGCAGCAAAAATGATGCAAGATCCAGGTGCTAGACTCATTCTAGAATAAGAGGAGCTACATGAGGGAGCATCAGAGGAGGGAATATTTGTGCTATGCACCTTACTCAGAACCCAAGGTCAGCTTGGAAGTAGTCAATTACACATTGTCTTTGAAGCTACCGTGCAAATAGTGACTTAGACTCTCCCCCAGCAGTTAGCGGTGTCCATCCTTCTGGCTGAGGATCAGGGTTCAGTTCCCAGCACCCATATTAGGCCACCTACAACCCACTTGTGACAGCAGTTCCGAGAGACATGGCGCTCTCTTCCAGCCTGTGGGCCCCTCAAAGGCTGGCAGCTTTGCTGGACTTTGGATAGCTGAGTCAAGCAGGGAACGAAAGAGAAAACATCAAGCTACGTCAACACGATACACTCGTGGAGACAGATAGTACTGAATGCCAAATACGCTTGATGCTTTTTCTCTTTCGTCCCCTACTTCACTCGGCTATATAGAATGTCTTGCCTACATGTATGTTTGTGCAACATCATGTGTGTACCAGATGTCCTCAGAGGTCAGAAGAGGGTGTCAGTCTCATACAACTGGAGTTACAGATGTTGTGGGCCACCACTGGGGTGCTTAGGAATCCAACACAAGGCCTCTGCTCTTAACTGGATTCACCTTTAACATGTTTTCAATTATCCTGTGTGTGAAATGGTGTGCATGTGGCCGCAGAGGACAGCTTTGTGGAATGGGCTCTCTCTTCCCACCTTGACTTGGGCTCCAGGGACAGAACTTGGCCCACCAGTGTCAAGCATGCTAAGCCCATTTACCCACTGAGCCATCTCCCTTGCCCCAAGATTGGACTAATTATTAACATGTGTCTATGTCTTCACAAAATGCTGGGATCTGGAAAGACATTATTTCAGTCTGCACCTGTTTGTAAGCTTTGCTCCACTACTTAATCATAAATGAATCTTGGGCTCAAATCAGTGTATGTTTTCAGTAACTGGGACCTTCTATAAACTGAACACTGTTAAAGGTAATCTGGGAGGTGAGAAGTCCAGTGATCAGACCTGGCACTTTGTTGACTGGCCCTGTGCCACTATGGGCATGAAAGGATGCTGTAACAGGACTCGGTGAGTAGTTCCACGGAACTCTGATAATGACAAGCTCAGCCCTGAAATACTCCTACACTGTTTTTCAAACAGAAAATAAGCAATATTTGAGTGCCAATGTCTTTATTCCCATTTTACTAGAAAGGAGACAATATTAACAATTTATGTGCTGGTCGGCAAGTGTTTCATAACCCCAGATGTGTGTTTACTAAGAATTGTAAATTGTTTTAAACTGTAAGGTTTGGAGGGACTTTCAGCGGTAAAGCAGTTACAAAGCATTTTAGTTTTAAAACATCGAAGGCAAGTGTTTTATTGTGCAGCATAACTGAAATGCAATTTAACCACTGGTTTACAATTTGGTTAAAACCCAAAGCTGCAAGCCATTTTAGGGAGTCAAAATTATTATTTTGCACACGTTCAAAACGTTTCCAGCTTGTCTCGACCATTTGTTTTTATTCTCAAAGCGTAAGTGCTCAAAAGTAATCAAACTCATTAGCTGAACGCCTGGCAAGCAAGACATATTTGTAGAACAAACAAGTAGGTGAGCAAGCTCTCTTGAGATCTAGAGAGACAATATGGTCCTTCATTTGAGCTGATTTCCCTTATTAATTCACAGAACTTTAGGCTCGTTTTACATGTCTGCTCACACAATTAATTAATATCATGGTTGAGTTCACCACTACTGTAAAACTAGACCAAGAGATGCCCACTTACAGCCGTGTGTCAGGTGGGGGAGGGTATTTATTACTCTGCCTTTAGCTGAATAGGAGGCACGAGTCATTTTATGAGTATTTAGGGGAAAACAGTTTCCTCTCGCCTCACAGAACGTAACTGTTTATTAATCTATAATTCTTCCAACTATGAAATCCCAGAAGTCGTGGTCCCAAGGAGAAGAGTCCTTGTATGTTTGAGTTCATTCATTTTCAAGTGGCCTGTCGAGCTCCCAGACCGCTTTAATACCTAGAGAAATCCGTTTCCTCTGAGCCAAAGTCGGCCTCCCGCCTGCATCCCCGCCGCCCCACTGGTCGGTGCCGAGACGTCGAGGCCAGTCACCACCTCCTCCTCCTCCAGCCGGGCGGACCGCGCCAGTCCGCTTCTGTGGGGGCGACACCCAGCCCGCAGGCCACACGCCCCGCGTGTGCGGCGCCTTTATTTACTTCGCTCAAGAGTCACCAGCCCCCCTCCTAACAAGTCTGGAAAGCATTCGGGCGACGCGATGCTGGGGACACTGGTGAGTGCCCTCGGGGGGAGCGGCGAGGGCATGGGCGAGGCCGGGCTGGGGCCGCGGGCCGGGCCGAGGGGGAGAAGCGTCTCACGGGCACTCGCAGCCCGCCGCGCAGCAGCCGGGCAGGCACACGCACACGTGCACGCGCGCCCCGCGCCCGCCCCCCGCGCGGGCTGCGGCTCCGGGTGGCGGCGGCGGCGGGGGCCGGGGGCGCGCGGGCCGGCGGCGGGCCGGGCCCCGGGGGCCGCGAGGGCGGCGGGCGGGCGGGGACGGCGCTCGGGGGCCGGCCCGCGCGGCGCCCATGCTCGGGTAGGGCCTCACGGTGTGCGGCTCCCGCGACGCTGAGCGCGGCCTGTCCCGCCGCAGGTCTGGATGCTCGCGGTCGGCTTCCTGCTGGCACTGGCGCCGGGCCGCGCGGCGGGTGCGCTGAGGACCGGGAGGCGCCCGGCGCGGCCGCGGGACTGCGCGGACCGGCCGGAGGAGCTCCTGGAGCAGCTGTACGGGCGGCTGGCGGTCGGCGTGCTCAGCGCCTTCCACCACACGCTGCAGCTCGGGCCGCGCGAGCAGGCGCGCAACGCCAGCTGCCCCGCCGGGGGCCGGCCCGCAGACCGCCGCTTCCGGCCGCCCACCAACCTGCGCAGCGTCTCGCCCTGGGCTTACAGGTGAGCGGGCCTGAGGGGCGGGGCGGGGCCTGCAGGACAGGTGGGTGGGGCAGGGTGGAGTCGGTGGGGCGGAGCCTGGAGGGCGGGGTGGAGCCTGCACCGGACAGGGCCCGCGGGAGGGGCGTGGCCTGGGGTATAGGTGGACCGCACTTGAGGGAGGGACAGGTCCTGATGGGGATCGGGTGAAACTAGCGGGATGGGGCGGGGCCATCTGGAGCCTGAGGGGCGGGACCTGAGGAACAGGTGGGCGTGGCGGAGCTGATGGGTGAGGCAGGGTGTAACCACTGGGATGAGCCACCGAAGCAGGACAGGTGGGGCTGGTGTCGGCTGCGCGGTGAGCTGGGGAGGAGCCAGGAGAGGGAGATGGGATAACTAAATTGGGAATGATTAGTCTCTAGAGAGGTCTGTCACGTTCTTCGAAGAAATGCTGTTCCCTCTTGCCAGCTCTTCCTGCATTTGTTATGCAATAAATACCAGTTGAGCACCTAGTCTTTACCAGATACATCCTGAGGGATCAATCCAAATGACCCTTTATTAAAGCATGAGAGGTTTTGCCCGGGACGCCTGTGAGTGTGATCTGGAGGTGCTGGGCGCTGAGAGCTAGGAGGCACACCCTCTGAGAGGATGTCTGGGGAAACTGTAATATGCGGACAGACATTAGGTGACTAGGGAGGGAGAGAACACCTTTTGAGAGTGAAAGTGACGGTCTAGATGCATGGAGGATAGGCAACATTCTGAGGGAAGTGCGGGCTGGGCAGCAAGAAGTGTGAACACAGGGACCTGTGCTCAAATAAGAAGGCACAGGAGGGAGCCCTCACACTGCCCTGAAGATGAGAAAGATTTGCATGATGGCTGAGAGCCCCTTGATGGGGGCTGGATGAGGAAGAGGAAGAGAAGAGCGTGGCACCTACAGAAAGCTAGCTACCAGCAAGGCTTTTGTATGTTTGCCTTGTCATGCTGGAGACAACACCTGTCCCATCACTGAGCTGCATCCCATCCCTGTAGTGTGCTTTGGCTTTGCTTTGTTTTGTTTGGGAAACAGGGTTTCCCTGTATAGCCCTGGCTATCCTGGAACACTCTAGACCAGGCTGGCCTCGAACTCACGGAGATCCTACTGAGTGCTGGAATTGAATGTTTCTTGGTTACCAATAACATATGACCACCCACTCTTGTATCCCAGTAAGGATATTGTTTGTCAGTTGCCATTACTGTCACAAATACCTGGGCCGACAAGTGGCTCAGCAGATAAAGTTGCTTGCTGGCAAGGCTAATGACCCGAGTTTGACCCCCAGAACCCACACAATAGAAAGAAAGACCCCAGCAAGTGTCCTCTGACCTCCATAGACAAGATTAGCACATCATACACAAAATAAGTAAAAACATACAAATACCTGAGATAATGGCCTTAAGAGAAAAAAGGGTTGGCTCAGTTTTACAGACTTCAGTCCATGATCAGGCAGACATATTGCTGTAGGCTCCGGTGAGGTGCCAGATGGCAGTGGCTCGGGGGCATGTGGCAGAGGAAAAACTAATTACTAGGAAAGGGAGAAAAGGGAAGGGATGAGAGCCCCACAGCCCTTCAAGAGCACGCTCAAGTGACCTAAATGCCTCTAGAACCTTCCAACCGCAGCACCCTGAGGAGAAAGCCTTTGCCAAGGTGCAAACTGTAGGTTTGCAGGTTCCAGTGAGGGATAGCGTGCCTGCTGGGCATGCTGCAGTGTTTCCCTCAGATGACCGTGAGGGCCTCAGCTGAGGCCGCACTGTGGAAAGAGTGGTATCAGGAGAGACCTGGGTGGGTGGGTACTTGAGTACTAAGGAGGGAGGGAGCAACAAGGGTGTGAACTTCGGCCTGGGTCACCTGGGGCTGATTTTGTCAGTTCCCTTGAACTGTACCTCCCCTCTCCAATTGCCATCCCCTTAGGCTGCCCTGAGAAGCTGAAGTTTAGAGCCTCCCTTGATTGGGCTGCTTTTTGGGCCAAGTTCACCTGTGGTCCAGCCCTTCTCACAGCTCCACCCACATGGAAGTGAACCCATATGGGACCACCCTCTTTAACACATCCTAGCTCTACAGGGAAACAGTGCTGGAGTTGAGGCTGGCCCAAAGGCCACTCCAGGCTCACACACACACACACACACACACACACACACACACACACAGACAGGTAACCCACAGCAAGTCTCAAGCCCTCGGGAGGTATGTCGCCTATGGCCCCTGCCAAGGCTGTGGAGCACAGAAAGTAATAAGTGCTCGAAGAGGAAGCACAGAGTTAAGTCTTGTGCCTATTGAGTCTTATTGCCTTCAAGATGGACACCTGGTATGGACAAGAAAGAGCAACGCTGGAGAACCAGTTGGCAGTTCTTGCATCCAGCATCCTACATGGGAAGTTAGGTTAAGCTGTTCCTGATGCAGGCCGACACTTGCACCTCCCGTGGTCACATCTGAAGGCAGGGTAGGGGAAAGAGCCCCCATACTTGGGGTCACCCCATCTGCCCTTTGCCCTTCCCTTCCGGTAGCTTATCCTGATTAGAAGGAATCTAGGCTTTAGGGGATCATGTTGGGCCATTGTTGCAGGTGCTGATAGATGAGGCTGGCCCTGTTTCCTTACCTCTCTGTACACGCCCTCCATTGCCACTCACCTCCTAAGTTGAGGAGGCTAGAAAAGGTGCAGACGAGAAAGTACAGAGCCTCATCTGTGAGAGGACTGGGAAAGGGACTTCTGAGGACCCTGGTGGCCTGAATGGAAGTGATCCCTCCAAATCCCACCAGCTCAGGTTCAGGAGTGACACCAGCTGCAGAGGTGGTACACTCATCCTCAGGTCTGCAGATTCTGCATCCACAGAGCTAACCAGTTGCAGATGGAGGATGTCTGAGAGAGCTTGCATCTGTGCTGATATGCAGTCTTTCTCAGTGTTACTCCCTAAGCAACACGGTGCAGCGGTGTACAGAGCATGGCTGTGTTAAGCATGTAGAGATGGCTGAAGTCTATAGGAGGGTATGCATAGGTTCTCTGCAAATTCAACATCATTGTATATATGGAGTCTGAGTGTCTGGGGAGCTTGCTTTTCTCCTAGATTCCCAGAACTGTTCCCTATGGGGATGGAGAACTGCAATGACCATATTCCTATAGGCAAAGCAGAAAGCTAAGGAAGATGGGTAGAAAATACCACGGCACACGAAAGATCACTGTAGGTGGAGTAGAGGATTTAAAGCAGTCCCTGAACTGTCAGCAGGCTTCTGTGTTTGGGGAATGGCGATCATGGTTTCAGGACAGCTGGGTCTCCAGCTGGAAGAAAATATGGTTGGATCTCACTCCTATGTGACAACAAATTCCAGATGATTCAAAGATTTGAGTGTAAAAAAATAAAATAAAATAAAATAAGGCCACAAAGAGGAAGAAAAACACGAGCCATTTTATTTATAATCTTGGTGTGGAGGAGGCTTGTTTAGCAGCTCACAGTCCCAGACATCATAAAAGATAAGATTAAGATATTCAGTTATATAATTACATGCTGTGTTGTCTTGGCAAAATAACCTAGAGTATAGGGCAAGCCAGGGGGAGAAATATTTGCAACCCATGTCACAGAGGTCTCCTTTCCCAAAGAGCTACTGCAAACCAATAAAGCCATGGCATCAAGGGAAAATGGGCCAAGGTCGGGGCACATTCAGAGAGGGGAAACCAGATGAGCCGGCTCTCTCCATGTGAAGAGCTGCACACTGCAATCAAGGAAGCAAAACATGTAGAAACCATAGTGAGAAAGTTTGGTTTTTGCAGCCGTCATCTGGCTGCTTTGATAAAGGTGGAGGAAGAAGGAAGCCAACATCCTGGTGCAGTGGAGGCGTGTGGATTGGGATGACTTGGAGAGGAGGAAGTGGGGATTGTAATTATCCAAAAAAATCTGGCTTCAAGCTCTGGGCTCAAGCGGTCTCCTGCCCTCATCTCCCCAGTGGTTACAGGTGCACACCTGTGCCTGGCTCAGTCTCAAACTTTATATGCACTTGACCCAAAGATTCGACCTATCGATGTTTCTCCTGCAGACCCATGTGTCCACAACCAAAGGACTGTAGAGTAAGGATATTAGTTATTGCTGGAGCAGCAAGGGTTGCAAGGCATCAGTGTCCACCAATAGACAGTGATTGTATAAGAGCCATGAAGAGGGAGGTAGCATTTAGCTCACGTAAGCTCTCTGGGCATTCCTCAAGGGAAAAGGAATTAACATGCAATTGCTTTTGTGTTGAAAGAGAAATTGATATAATACATACATAATGATATTTTTTCTTTCTTTTAGTCAGGGTCTCAGTATGTAGCCCTAGCTGGCCTGGAAGCCATAGACTGCTAGAACCAAAGGATCACATGACCACACCCACCTACTTTTTTTTTTTTTTTTTTTTTTTTTTTTTTTAAGAGATGGGTCTCACTATATTGTTCAGGCTGGTCTCAAACTCCTGAGCTTACGTGATCCTCCTGCCTCAGCTTTCTGAGTATCTGGGACGGCTACTGTACTACTGTGCCTACTGAAGACATTTTCTTTGTTAAATGTTGAGAGGGGAAGTTCCTCAACCCTGAGGAAAAGGCAGACACCACAGAACTAGAGCCTGGGCTTCTGAGCCGCACACAGAGCCATGAGGGGCTTGTTTGTTCATAAAGGCTGGGAGCTTATGGAAGGGGTGCTGTGGGCATTGAGGTTGGGTTTTCAGAGCGCTGTGACTCCATGGCTGGGCTGAGCTCTGAAGATGTTACAGCTTGGACATGAAGAGATAGTTGCCAGGTGACAAAGCCAAACCAGTACAGCTGGGGTACTGGACGCCACGGACCTCGACCCTCTGGCAGGGCCCAGGGTGTTATTAGGAAAACAACATTCATTGCCCAAAGCATAAAAATATTTTCTCGTTTACCTCTGTGGCATGATATGTTTGTTTCTCCTTTGCTTAAAAATACCAAAAATAAATCAACTTGGTTGCTTAGAAAGTTTTTTAAACAGTAGGTTAATATATTCAGAAA